GAGCACGCATGGCAATCCTCTGGAGTTCCAGAGTGGTTCGATCCTCCTCAGCAGGATCAGCAGAGAGCTGTTCAGGAGAACTGTTCTCCACGTCAAACAAGTCTGGTGGCCGTCTTCCTGTGGCTATCTCCAAGGGAGAATAACCTGAGACGGTGAGTTGGCAATTCCTTGCCCACGCCACCTTCTTGACTGCCTGACGAACAGTCACCTTTTCTGCATAACCTTCATCAGCCAAGGCCTTGGCCATAATGGCCCATGTGCGCTTGAAAAGACGCACTGCGGTCTCAGCTCGATTAGGCCAAGGAGTCCGTGGTCCGCATGGATACGGAGTAATGCCATGAAACTTATAATAGGACATGAACTGTGGTGTGAAAAATGCTTGATCACCTACGATTCCCTTAGGAACGCAGTTGTTCTCCTCTGTCCATTGTCGAAAAGCTCCCAGAGTCTCGGGCACTTCCAGGCTTGTGAGAGCCGTAGCCCACAGGAGATTCGAAGCACCATCAATGATGACCAAAGCCAGATAGGCTTTTGTACCGAACTTGATTTCTTCGTGATCAACAAAAATGAGATCACCGAAGGATGATGCTCTCAACCCTGCGATTCTGGCTCGCGGAGGCGTAGGCACGGAGGTGCTGCAAACACGACAGCCTTTGACAACGCGGTCGTACTTGTCATAGATCTCTCCTGGCAGCCCAAGCATGCTGGTCCTTCGTCGAAACTGAGTTGAACCCATGTGGTAATGCTTCACATGCAATTTGTAAAGCTCAATATCATTGTTCAACTTTTCCAACATGCGCTGATACTGCGGAGAAGCCCTTGAGACCTCGTGGCCTGGCAATGGAAGCGCGATCCTCCTAGGTTCTAGTGACTGAGCCTCTGGGGCTCTCGGAGGAAGCAAATCTGCATCCCCCGGTTCGGAAGGTTCGTACTCTTGAAGATCCGGAGCTTTCCTCCCTTGGCTCGAATCCTTCTCGCTACCGGTGCCTTTCCCTGAGGAAAGCTTCCGGATGCTCCTGTCTTCTTCGAGCTGTCTTCAGGCTTGCCTTTGCTAATCATGTCCTCTGGTGATCCTACCTTAGCACGGGTTGGATCCTTGGACTTAGCTTGTACCGAGGTTCTACTCTCGATACCTCCAGGCAAAACCTTGAAGATAGTCCTACCGTTCCAAGAATCAGTAGTCCTTGAGGTAGGAGGCTCAGAAGAACGCCAGTCATCTTCTTGAGTAACGCTCTTACCCTTGGAGAACTGCATGATCGTCTTGCGCTTGTTGTCCAGGTACTCCAATGGGATAGGCACTGAGCCCGCCTTGGGTTCGTACTTAACCTTCCTCATCTTCTTGTGGATGCGGATCATCTCCACGTCGGCTTCGTTGATCACCCATTCATCAGCTGTCGCCAACACGAGATTCTCGGGTACCTCTTCCTGAGAAGAGCATCCCTCGGTCTTCTGGTGGAAGCCGTACTCGTAGTGGGAGAAGTAGGTGAGGAAGCTCGACTTCTTGTGCTTGTTGAACCGCACATTCCACATCAACTGACTGAGTTCGAGAAGGTCAAGTACCAGGTGTGAGCTAGGCGCAACCTTCAGCTTCACATCCTTGGTTCCCAGCACAGGGCTGCTAAGCAACCGGATGGAGTTCGAACTGGAACCTAAGGTTGCGCATCTGCGGCAAGGACATGAGAATGGGAACATGTCCCTGCTCCACAATGTCGAACTCTGTGGGTTGAACTGCATAACCCCGGTCGTACATGCAAATGACCAACTTCTTGTTGCACTTGGTCGACTCGGAATTGACAAAGGTGAACTGAGAGGTGGTCTCAGCGATGGTGTACCAAATGCCACAGTTCTGATTCTTGTCACAGAACTCCATGAGGTCCTGTGCGGCCACTCTCGAAGCCATTGCTCTCGTACATCCCAAGTCCAACACCATCGCGGTCGGCGTCAAGGGCTGAGAGATGAAAGCTTCTTCGATCTTGTCGATCTTCTCTTCGGTGGCCATGAAAGAAAGTTTCGGAGAGTTGAAGTGTTCAACGAAGAAGGTTGTGGCGGCTGTGGTGCCACTCGGGGCAGAATCAGCAAGCTGGGCTTGTCCGTCTTTTCCGGACTTTCCATCTTTGCCAAAGTTGCTCTTTCCTTTGCCCTTCTTTCCTTTCTTTCCTTTTCCTTTGGCTGCATAGGACTCCTCTGACTCATACCAGGACCAGTCATCCCAGGGTTGATCGCTCCACTGGTAATCTTGCCACTCCACGCTTATCATTGTCTAGCTCAGTAATGTCACACCAGTCATCGATCGCATCCTCATAGGCGAACCAACTACTTCTACCATCGTAAGATGGAGGTACTTTGGTGGTCACCTGCTGGAAAGCTGAAAGACGGTGTAGTTCATTGAGATGACGATGATTAGTCGCAAAAGACTCATTGCCTTGAAGGAGGTAGTCCTCATCTCCTCCATCATGCTCGAAGATAGTCGCAGAGTGGCTAGCCATTGTGCTGTTCTTGGATCGAGCCCCGGGAAAAGCCTCTGCCGGTTATCTTCACTTAAGTAAAGTGTACCGGAGAGACTCCGGTCACCTTCACTTGTCTGAAGCACACCGGGATTCCGGTTGCCTCCACCTGTGTAGAGAGTACCGAACAGGTACCTCCACAAGTGTGAAGCAGGAACACAGGCACTCAGGTGTCTCTTTTGCTACAGGCGCACAGCTGTAGTCCACTGCACTAGAACCTTGAGCAACAGGCATGGATACATGCAAGTGATACGTGAAACAGACAGGCACCTGGATGTGTAACATTCAGTGTTTCACCCCTCCCCCTCAACTTGTTGCTGATTTTGTCTGCTTCAACCTGCACCCCCCCCCTGCCCCCCGTGCTCCCCCCCCGGGCCGGCCCACACCCCTTCCCGACCGCCTTCCCTACCCTGCCCTTTCTTCTTCCAAGCATTCCTGCTTCCTCCCCCACGTCCTTGCCCTTTTCTCCTTTTTCCACCTTCCTGCTGCTTTCTTGCCCCAAGCTCCCTCCTTCCCCTTGCTCCCCTTCCTTCTGCCCCACTTCCTTCTTTTCTTTGTCCATCTTTTACCACTTTTCAATCTTCCTCCGCCACTTTTCCATCTTCCCGCCTTTTCCATCTTCTCGCTGCTTTCGCTCGCGCGTTTTTGTCCATTCCTCTTCTCCTTCGGTTCTCCTTGCCCCTTCCTGCCCTGGGCGCCGCTGCTGGCACTACTGGAGCCGCCAGCCGAGGCGGGCCGCGTAGCGTTAGAATTACCCCAAAGCAGACGCCCAAGGCACACAAATTTCGTAGGACCGGTTGAACTTGAAAGCATTTCCGAGAAGTTCGATAATCAGGAACATGGGAGCAGAGGACTATGTTTTCTACTTCTATATATATATATATATATATATATATATATGTGTGTGTGTGTTTCCGGAAATTAGGGGTACCGGGGTACCTTATTTGGGCTCCTGAAAAAAAGATCCTACTCTTTAGGGTACTATATGAGAATCCCCTATTTTGGGAAACTCCCATACACAGCCGAGGAATACTCTGACCATTCATGGTCTGCGTAGTTCATTACTTATATATTAAAGTGCTTCTGGGAGGATGGTACTTGAAGCTAGCCGATACTGACCACGAGCGTAATCGGCATGGGAACAGAGAGAATTTGAAATAGAGGTGTTTAGGCCGAGATTACAGTTCAATGTGCCGTGCTAGCTTCGTATAGCAGTAGCTTGGGCCGAGGATCATATCACAATAGACATGCTGGGTGCGTAACCAGGTACTTGGAGGCTTGCATAGGCAGCTACTTGAATTCAAGCGTTGGGCTCTGATGATGATTTCAAAGTAATTGAAGCCTCCCTCCTCTTCGAGGAACGAGCTCTATAAAACTGGCGGGAACTGGACTGTCTCTGAACAGTATGCGACCTTTACCGAGTACATCTTTGGGACTTTAGGCTTTAGGGTGTCACATAAGTTTGGGGTTTCGGATGAGGACCGAGGCTCTGGCAGAGTGGAGCCAAGATAGCAGTGGGACGTGGCAGACACGGGCGCCAACAACCACTGCCTGTGCACTTTGGCGGTCATCGCAAGATGATGCTGAGGGCGACAAGATCCGAGAAGTGCTGGGAAGGTCCCTTCTGTGCGGTCCAGCCGCTTCTGCGTGGCATACCTCGTGGAGTTGAGAACGTCGTGCTGGCCGGGAGGGACCAGCACGACCTGGCACAGCAAAATGCTTTGGAATGTATCCGAATGCATGAATGCAGAATCTCCCGCCTGCTTCTCGCCTGCAAGCAGAGAATGGAAATTCTCCTGAAGGCTCAAGGTTTGAGACTCGAATTGGCTTTTGCAAGAACGCTGGGGATCCCTATGCACGGTCCATGCGGTCGCAGTGGAAGCAGCTGTAGATCATTGTGTCCTGACATTGATATGTCATACTCAACACAGCAGTGAAGTTGCGGACGCCATGATTGAAATACGAGACAGACTTTCTCTTTGCAGCTCATCACGACTGTCGTCCTGACCGGGCTCGGGCACGGTTTTGTCGCTCCAGGGCGGATACGGAACGCGCCTTGGCCCAGCAGAAGAGGGTTTGGTCCGGTCATGTCCGGTCCTTTTTTGCGAGTCTGTGGGAAGCCGAAACAACGGGGCAGCCGCCACGGGGGGCCGTTTGTGGCCCAGATGCGCGAGGAGTTCGGACCTCAAGGACCCGGACGGAAGTCCAACGCGGAAAATGCCTGCAAAAGGCTCCGGCTGGCCCAGCCGGCGATTAGTTTTGGCGCCTTGTCAACACCACATGAAGACTGACGTACGCGCTATTCATGGAAGATCAAGATCATGGAAGCACACCTGTGGCCCCAAGTCCTGCAGCAAGAAGTGTCTGACCGACTACCGAGCATGAGACTGTTCGGCTCGGTTCAGCATAGCAGCAGCCTGGAGGACGGCTACGTCAAAACTTGCCCGATTGCCGTCCCAACGGTCCTTTTGCATCTCCGTCGGCATGGCATAGGTGTCATGGGAGAGGTAAAACGACAGTGGCCTTTGCTTGGAACAGCTCTAGAGATGCGGGGCCAGGAGTTCATCTCTGATTCAAGGCCATGACACCAAGTCCCGTATTTTGCATTCCAAGGGCGCGAAGAAATGCAGCCTAGCAGATATCAAATGCGCGCGTGTCTCACAAATAAGCCGCACAACAGCTCTGCTACTCAAGTAATTCACGCAAGCTCTTCATGAGGCTGCTGCGGCGAGTCTGCATCCACGGCCAGGAACGGCACGTTCTGAATTGAGACTTCGCCTCGTTCTGCCCTTACACACTCTGGGCAATGTCGCTAAGATGGCACCATGCAGAGAACAACGTCATGTCAATGTCAGAAACCTTCACCGCCTGCTTCTTTCTAAGAAGCTGGGGCCTCTCACGCGACAATCGCCGACGCAGGTTCTCATGCTTGGCTAGGTCCACACCACCTGAAAACAGAAGGCTGTAAGCCGAAGCAGATTAGTCCAGTGGAGCAGGCTCGCCGTAACAATACCCAAACTCGCAGGGTGAAAACAGCCTGCAGCATCCGTTACTCTCAGCCTTCTTCTTCACGGAGACGAAGGATATCTTGCCTCAGCAGCGCGACCTTGCAGAGGAAACAGGAAACCGCATGAAACCACCTGTACCGCCTTCATTGGCCATGGCTCCGCAGGCTGCGCAGCGGGTGCCTCTCGGAATGCCCAAGCAGGGAGCCGGAGCCGGCCAGGGTTAAAGAGGACCTCAGGCTCCCCGGAGTCGTCTCCTTGGCAGTCGCAGACATTCCCAGCTCTCTCCGTTTGCTACTGCTACACTGCTTCATCGCCAAAAGACTAGACATGATTAGACTGCAGCGAGTCTCCAAAATGCATCATCCGGCTATCCGCCGGATCAAAACCCACATCCAGGACCTCGCATGTTGTGTTGGAAGGTGCAGGCTTGTCTGTGCACTGATCCTATAATCCTGTGTATCTTCCACCCGGACGACCCCTGAGCCTCGTCCCGCATGAGGTCGTCCCATCTGCTTTTCTGCCAGTTGCGCTCTGCATCGGCAAATGCTGGCCAGTCGGCGATCAAACCTACACTTCATAGGCACTTCCCCAACCCTCTGCTGCGACATCACAGTCAAGGCCTTCGATAATCACGGGCTCACTCTTGGCGGCAAATTCTTCGAAGAGCTCAGGGCTGATCTCTTCGGGATACTTGAGCCGTTGAATCTCCTGACAGTGAAAAGGAACTTGCATACAGAAGAGATTGGGAAGTGCACAAAATGCTCTGAACGATGACTTATGATACTTATGATACGAACGTGTTAGCTTGGGTCCTTCACCGGCACCTGAAGCTGCGGATCAGTGGCTGCGCCATTCATGCTGTACCGGGCCAAGCCAGAGCTTTATGCTAGCTTGAAACTGCGACAAGATGAAGAGACAGTTTTGCTTACGACCCGCAACAGTCCGGCATGGCCTCTTTCAGTTCATAACACAGCAAGTACGTCTGCATCCTCACAGACCACACGAGCCCAAATGCATACACAACAGATTTGCAGGTGTCACAAGCACCCTACCTCCTGAAAATTCCTGCCTTTCCATCAAACAATATTTCTCCGAGGCTGGCTGTGGCTGAAAACGGCTCCTTTCTTGATGCAGGCAGTGGCCAACTGTTTTCGCAGCACTTCTTTTATGTCGATCTTCTTACTCCATAGCAATAGCGAGTTGTGTGGGCATTCGGCAGAGATCAGGATTGTTGGATGGCGTGCCCTCCACTCTCCAGCATTGTCCTGAGCACCACGTCCAAACGGAAAACCCAACACGGCAAAGCAGCACTTGCAAACTTGCAAAGAGCCTGCAGGTCCTCTGCTTGCTCCACTTCGTGAACTGCTATGCCTGTATGCACTCAAGAGGCGTGTCACAGCATGTTCATGTCAGTTCAAATTGCATTCCGGGGCCCAGCGTCTAACCTATGATGCCATTTCTACCCCTGAACCCACCACGGCCTCCATGCATTGGGCGGCTAGCGGGTCCTCATCAGGATCCGGCATGAGCCTGGCAGCTTCGACATCGCCCCCTGACGTCGGGCATCGGGCGCGAGCCTGCGATCGATGCGTTGGTGCCTGAATAGGCCCAAAGACAAGCCGAGTTCCTCGGCAACAGGCACCAAAACTGCGCCCACACAAGGAGTGGCTGAGGAGATGACAAAAGTCGGCTGGACACGCCACCTCACTTCGACAGATCCGGCCGAAGAAAAACTTAAACAAGCACATCGGAGAGGTCTCTTGCAGAAGGTTTGAAGCTTTCGAGTTCAGAGTCGCCAGGCATACCGGCACCCAGGTTCGGAGAGCGAACATAAGGATTCCTAATGGCTCTGTCAGCACATTCCGATGTTCAGCTGTGCTATGCGCCCCAAATATCACTAAGGCCCAAACGAGTACGAGCTCGTGATTGTTTCCTCCACTGCACGTAAATCCTGACTGACGTGTCGAAGTCAGCTTCCAAGCTAGGGCAGCAGCACAAGATGCTGGCTTCGTTTTTTTATTGCTGTGGTGCGGGGTTCACTGGTCGTGGACGTCTGTCATTTACACTTGTTGCTGCTGTTGTTGTTGTTGTCATTGTAGTTGTAGTTGTAGTTGAAGTTGAAAACGTAATGTTGTTGAAGCTAAACTCGTAGTTGTCGTTGTCGTTGTAGTTGCAGTTGTAATTGTTATTGTTGTTGCTGTTGAAGTTGTAGTTGTTGTTGTTGTCGTGGGTTGTGGTTGTAGTTGTCGTTGTATGGTAGTTGTAGATACCCGGGTTGGAGCCCAGGTTAAACCTTGCGTTGAACCTTTGAACTTGGGTTGATCTTGGGTTTGAACCCAGGTTCGGCGTAAACCCTTTTCAGACCGGCTGCGAACTCAGTTTTTACTGTTTTGCCTCCCGCTGAGAAAAAAATTGAACCCAGGTTCCAACCTGGGTTTGAACCTGGGTTGCAAACCTGGGTTTAAATCCAAGTTCGAACAACTCAAGATCCAAAATAGTTGTTTGAACCCAGGTTCAACCCGGTTTCTTGGTTCTTTCTTTTACGACTCTTCTCGCTTAGTTTGGTTCTTCGTCTATGTTGATGTTCCTTCTTCTTGTTGTTGTATGATAGCGATACTGATTTTTTAGCGTCATGATTAACATGCTTGTCTTCCTATCATTATGATTGTTGTTACTGTTGTTAAGGTGTTGTAATGGTTCTTGTTCTCGTTGCAATTGTTTTTTGTTCTTGCTTGGCTATTCCGGTGTTATTGTTATTGGATTCTTGTTGTTCCTACTGTCTTATGTTTATCCTTCTTCTGTATCATTTCTATTCTTATCGTGTTTCTGAAAGGTCTTCTGTTATTACTATTATTTCTGTGTTGTAGTGTCATTATTGCTGTAGTTCATGTTATTGCTACTATCCTCATTACTGCGTGGGGGATTGATCTCGACTAGGTTGCTGCTCTCCCCACCAGAGCTGTAATGAATGTAGGTGTGGCTGGCTTGCACTCTCCACAGACTGGACCCTGTCTCTCTTACACTTCCACACGTGCAATCCTATGCAGGCAGAACCGGCGGCCGTTCCTTTTGCACTCACTGCCGGCGGCGGTTCGTCTGTGCAACGGGATAGCTCTGATTGCTCAGGATAGAAGACACATATAGCACTTAGCTATGGGCATTGACTTGAGCCAAACGTTGCGTGGGCGGTCACATAGAAAGGTAAAGATGAGGGACGCGTAGCGTGCCCCCTTAGAGTCGAGGGACGCGTAGCGTGCCCCCTTCTCTTGCACTTTACACGGTCTTGCTCACAGCTCTTATAGTGACACCTTAGAACTTGACAAGGCATCGCAGTCCGTTCGCACCCCCCATGAGTTGCGTCTCCGACGCTGCTCACCCGGAAGATGGCACGATAGGACAACAGAAAATGTTCCGCCGCAACGTTGACATTGAAAATCAGAGCTTTGCATCCCAATTAGAAACGTTGTGACACTCATCTACGTCAGTAACGATCCCCTGAAATGGCAAACGAATCAGGCGTCACCGAAGAAAGAAGCATTCGCGATGGCATTCCATGGGCGAAGCTCAGAGGTCACGAACTGATAGGCGAGGAAGACCAAGCGTTGATTCATCTCCATCTTCGCGTGGTCGCAGGATCGCGGTCCCAGGGCCGGAGGTTTTCCTCTGGATACTGTTCCCTTTGCTTTCCTTTGTCCTTGCCTTTGTTTCGGCCTTTGCCGGCGGTGTAGTCATAGTAGGTGTTGGCGTTCCAGCCTCCATGCTGTTCACCTCCGGTTCTCTCACGCCCTTTTGAAGGTCCCTTGGCCGAAGAAGCGCTTGCACGTTCCTCCGTAGTGACAGGCGTGTCCAGGATGGAAGTACCACCTGGAGGGAGATAGTCAGCGGCCGAAATGTGGTGTAGGGCTTCAGTACGCTTGGTCGTCGGGTTTTGCTGTCTCTCAGCCTTGGATCTGTTCAATCTGTCCATGAAATGCGCAGGCATTTGCACATTGTGGTCCACCAGCAATCCGATGGTCTGGACTGAATGATCGGAATGAGTCAGCAGGATACCGACGGGGTCGATGTACAAGAAGTCCACCGGTCCAGTTGGCGTTGGTCGTAGCACTGAGAATTGTTGGTGTCCCGTCACCATCGGAATCACCTCGCACAGGACGTTCAGGCAACAAAAGTGCATAGCCTTCACATCTTCATCCCTTTGGCTCTTCAAGTACGTAGTAGGGTTGAAGTTGTCCCTGCCAATTCCCATCATGTTGGCTCCCCGTGTAAGCAACGAAAGCATCTGATTCGTCCGGAAGCGCTTCAAAGTGTAAGTCCCGTTGGGATCGTACTGCTTGAGGTTCTCAGGTTCCTTGGCAAAGCGAATGATCTCCTCATCAGTCACATCCCTGCTCACACCAGTCTCTCTGTCCACTACAGCCAATGATCCCCACTTTCCAAGCACATCATAACGTTGGCCAAGTGCGAAATTCTCCTTCATCTGAAACAACGGCATAGTAGCCCACTTCGCGAAGCCTGACCAAGCCTTGTAGATGGTCCTGCACACCACGAAAGCCATATACGAAAGAGCGACCATGTTGGCGTCGATGCAATGGGCATTTCGCTTCCCTGAGTAGTAGGATGGCTGCATGGCGGTACGTGCGAGTTGTAGCTCAGGATCGATGTTCAAAGACTGGCAGGTAATGAAGACGGGACGGCGTTCCTGTGCAACTGCATCTGGTACTGCGTCATCAAAGTCCTCTCCTGGCTCTATGTCCATTTCTTCATCAGGTTCCTGTTCTGGATCGTCCTCCGCGATGACAGATGGTTCTGGGATTTCCTCAGGTTCCGCAACGGTCTCTACCTCCATGGCTTCCTGCTCCTCTTCGGGCGCCTCAGGCACTGCGGCTGCTGCGGCTTCCATTGTCTGAGCAATGAAGTAACTGGGGATCTCCGTAGGAGTCTCCCGTTGTGGAGAACCTTGGTAATATCCGCTAGAAACGAACTGTGACCAGCAAGACGTGCATCGGGAGAAGCATGCTGGAACGATGTTGTAGCATGCCGGGCACACCCTCATTCTCCTTCCATCCTCGTCTCTGCGTAGGTCTTCGGGTCGCCAATTCTTGATGACAAACTTGATCCCTTTGTCCATGTAGTGATGCCGAACCGTGTTCTCCCTGTGGGACTCCAGGACAGTCGTAAGGTCTCGGATGATCTGCTCCTTGCTGGTGTCGTGGGGTCCAGGAGGCATTTCGCAAAGCAATTCCATGATCTTGCTTGGCGTTCGGTATCGCTCGAACTCAGGGAGCAATGGTGATGCATTGTAGTCCAACACCAGCTCTTTCTCCAACCGTTCATCGTAGATCTTTTCCACCAGAGCGAAAGAGTGTGTATCTTGAGGATCCGGGACGCAAAACCATACCTCCTTGACGAACTGGAACGGTATCGTTCGGCCAACGATCATGATGCCGCTGTCTGTGATACGTCCATCTTCTCGTGCAAGGTCCTGCGATGGGACATGAAGGACCGCCAGTGGCATGTGCTTGGCATCTCGTCCATGTACCCGCATCTTGGTCGTCGCATTCCGGTGATCGAACGGTGCAAACACCCCCCAATAGCTGTGGAGTCTGCCGCCTTGGTTGCCTCGAAATTGGCGCCTATGGTCGAAGTCCCCGTCGGGGTCCTCCGAACCAGGCATGATGCCTTGCGTGACAATGGAATCCAAGTTGCGGCATGCCGTAGCGTGGAACGCGCCTCCAAGACGTTGCAAGAGGGTCATAGATGGAGATATTGCGAACCTGTTCTTGTCCAACTGAAGCAAATTGTTCTGGGGATCTGAGTGCGCAGAGTGACCACTTGTAGCCCGAACTGCCCATGGCTT